AGTGATAGCATATATTTATCTTTCTCTGATTTACTTCATTTATTTATTTATTTACTTCATTTAAAATGATGATTTCTAGGTTCATCCACATTGCTGCAAATGGCATTATTTCATTTTTTTTATGACTGAGTAACATTCCATTGTGAATGTATGCATATGTACACATATATCATGTCTTCTTTATCCATTCTATATCATGAATTATATACTACATATATATGATATGTATAGAGGTTTAATATAAGGAATTGGTTTACACAACTGGCAAGTCCAAAATCCGAAGGGCAGGACAGAGGCTGGGACCTGAGGCAGGATTTCTATGTTACAGTCTGGAGGCAAAATTTCTATTTCTCCAGGAAATCTAGGTCTTTGCTCTTAATGCCTTCAACTCATTGAATGAGACCATCTTGGGCTGAATTATGTCCTCCCAGAATGTGTATGTGAAAATCTTAACCTCCAATGTGATATTTGGAGATAGGGTCCGTGTGTGTGTGTGTGTGTGTGTGTGTGTGTGTGCATGCTTATTCAATCATGAAATGAGGTCACAGAGCGGGGCCCTAAACCCCATGACTGGTCCTTATAAGAAGAGGAAGTGACACCAGGGAGGAGCACGCAGAGGAAAAAGTCAGGTGAGGACACAGAGAGAAGGTCTCCAGGTCAAGGAGAGAGGCCTCAGGAAAAAACCAGACCTAATAGCACCTTGGTCTTGGACTTGCAGCCCCCAGAACTGTGAGAAGTCACTGTCTGTTGTTTAAGCCATCCTCTCCCCCGACACACACCAGTCTATGATGCAATATTTTCTTATGGCAGCATAAGCAAATACAGGGGCCCACCTACATCTGAGAGTAATCTTTTATGTAAAAGCAGTCAATCCTAAAGGAAATTGACCCTGAATATTCATTGGAATAACTGGTGCTGAAGCTCCAGTACTTTGGCCACTTGATGCAAAGAGCTGACTCATTGGAAAAGACCCTGATGCTGGGAAAGATTGAGGGCAGGTGGAGAAGGGGGCAACAGAGAGTGAGATGTTTGGATGGCATCATTGATTTCAATGGACATGAGTTTGAGCAAAGTCCAGGAGATACTGAAGGACAAGGAAGCCTGGGGTGCTGCAGTCCATGGGGTTGCAAGGAGTCAGACATGACTGAACAACTAGACAACAACAACAATGAGGCTTCCCTGGTGGTTCAGTGGTGAAGAATCCGCCTGCCACTGCAGGAGATGTGGATTCAGTCCCTGGTCCAGGAAGACCCTACATGCAGCGGAAGTCTATTCATTTTGTTGCAAATGGCGTTATCTCATTCTTTTCAATGACTGAGTATTATTCCATTGTATGTATGTATCACATCCTCTTTATCCATTCATCTGTTGATGGACATTTAGGTTGCTTCCACGTCTTGGCTATTGTAAACAGTAGGACAGTGAACACTGAGGTGCACGTATCATTTGGGGCCATGTTTTTCTCCACGTTTTTGTCCAGGAGTGGGATTGCAGGATCATATGGTAGCTCTATTGTTAATTTTTTAAGGAAACTCCGTACTCTCTTCCCCAGTGGCTATACCAAAGTTCATTCCCGCCCTTTCTGTGGCCATTGCAGTCTCTCTTATCTTAAAGATAAGCCCCCTTTGCTCCCAGAACAGCAGGAGCCATGCCCTGACGGCAGAGACCTGTCCCTGGGCCTCACATCAGAGCTTCCCGGAAAGTTTTCTCCTTTTCAACTCCATGATTGACATGCTTTTTTTTTTTTTTCTGGTGATTGAGCTGGAAATGAAATTCCACAGGCTTGAAAAACTGTCAAGCAGAGTCTCATTGAAATTGCTTTTTTTTTTTTTTCATTTTTAATTTGAAGAAAATAAAAGCCCAAAACTCTGCAGTGGAAGAGTCATTAAATAATTGACTGCGCTTGCCATTCTAAGAGGTAATTCAATACACCCCATCAAGCCGCCTTTACAAGGGAACTTTTCGGAGGCCCTCACTAGAGCCCACCCAGTAGGGGAAAAGCAGCTTTCTTGGGAGGAGGCGGCTGTGTTCCCTGGACTGGGAGCCTGGGGAGCAGAAGCAGGCAGACACCCTCAAAGGGGTTGTATCCCTGACAGAAACCAACTACATCACAGACAAGGTTGTTTAAAACTTGGCAATTTCAGATCAATTTCCCTTCGGGGTAGAACATGAAGATACTTAGGAAAGCAAATGCGTTTAAAGGCAGCCTAAAGACTTACCAGGGTTGTGTGTGCCTCAGATCCTAATTCAAGGGGATCTGAAAGGTGGTTTGGAATCTTTGGTATTTAACAACTCTTCATTCTCTCATTGGCACTTCAAAATTTACAGCGCTTTTTTTCTCTTTGCTGAGTTCAGCTTAATTAAGGATGCCTTGGTTGTTATTAACAAATAAATCCCAAATGGACTTCTTTCTTAGTTTAATGCATTAATTGTATTATTATTTTTTTTTCCAATCTGGAATAAAATCCTCAGGAAATCACTAGTGATGCTTTTTTTTTTAAAGTTGTGATAAAATACACATAACATGAAATTGATCATTGTGACTGTTTTTTTGTGTCCAATTTAGTGGCATTAGGTACATTCATGGTGTGCTTCTGGGGTTACTTTTGCACTTTGCCCTACCTTCATCCCCAGCAGTCTGGACTCACTAGAAGAGGCAGAGCAAGATTTTGATGATTAATTGCTATTTCTGCTAGTCCCATTGCAACTCTCTTAGAATATTGTGCCTTTATTCTGTGAAGGTCTCTCCTCCATTTAAACAGTTTTTGTTTAGTTGCTAAGTCATGTCTGACTCTTTTGCGACCCCATGGTCTGCAGCCTTCCAGGCTCTAACTACTTTCAATCAAGTGCTTTCACCTTAGCCAAACCCACAGAATTGAGGAATGGCATCTCCCTCTGATTCTAATTCGTGGTCACACTTCTTCACACAAAGGCTACAAAGAAAAGGAAAAGTTACCAGTGGAAGGAACCAATGTTTTTTGGGTAGCTCTGTGCTGCTTTTGTGCTAACCCAGGTCCAGATGTCACCCCATTCGCTATTTACAAGCATCCTCCATCCTACTAGTTTCATTTAACAGATGAGGACGCTGTGGCTCAGAGAAGTGAAGGAACAAGGTCACACAGCTGGTGTTGAACTCCAGGTTCAAATGAATTACAAATCCAATATGGTCTGTGGCCTAAGAGAAATGGAACCCAGAAAGGCAGGAAGATTCTAGGAGGGTGATGGGGACAGTGAGTAAATGAGCAGGAGAGTAAAGGAGAACACACCCATCACCCTTTCCAGGAGGAATCAACACCATTGACCTCTGCTCTCAACAGCACTCACAGGGTCCCTGGCTAGCTGGGCCTCATATGGAGAGACCTCCCAGTAAGGGCTTCCAGGCCATGCTCGTCCCAGCTGGAAGTCTGATTACAGACATTTCAGAGTATTTTGATCACTTGCATTCTCCTGCGCATAGGGTCACTCAGAGCTGCAGCCAGAATTTCTGACTCTGCCTTCAAATTAAAACGCCAACTATTTGTCAAGATGGATTTTCTCAACCAACCGTCTTCGCGTGTTGGAATGTCTCTGGTTGAAAATGCCCCTGGAGAGTTACCATGGCAACACCTGTCTGCAGAATGGCGGGAAGGAATCCTTAAAAGAGATTCCAAATTGCTGTGGCCACTTCCAGCCACAGACACGCACTGGGTTTTGCTCTGAGGGTATCTATCTGATGACTCTGGCCCGGGGATGAAAGACTAAGAGGAAAACCCCAAGGTTCCAAAGATGTGTATGAAGCATCTCCCCAGCCTCAGGAGCAGGCTCACAGCGTCTTTATCAGGCTGTGCTGATTTTCCTCCGTCCTTCCTCCGTCTTCAGGACTCAAGGTCAAACAGTTAAAAGCAGATTTATTTCGAACAGGAAAGGACTGAATGCAAGTTAAGGAAAGGACAGCTGGCTCAATAAAGGTGGGTAAAAGAAGATAGAAACAGTTGAAGGTTTGAAAACTGGAATTGGGTTTTGATAAAGGATTAAGATAATTTCCAAAACAGGTCAGTGATTTTTTTTTTCTTTTCCTTTCTTTCTCTTTTTCTTTCTTCCTCCTTCCCTGCCTCCCTCACTCTTCCTCCCCCCTTTCCTTCCTTCCCTTCCTTCTTTCATTCTTTCCTTGGAAATGGAATAGAAATGTAAACAATCCAGAGATTTGAACTGTAGAGTCTGACATAAGCAAGTTTTACAGTTATATGAACTCCCTTGCTAATATTTAATTAGTGCTATGATCTTTCTAAAGATGGCAAACCGCATACTTCAGTATTTAAAAGCTATACAAACTCAGTTACATATGAGTATAGGGTTTTGTGGGTGTGTGTAGAAAAGATCTATAAATGTTATACAGAGTGAAAGCCACTCAGTTGTGTCCAACTCTTTGCGACCCCATGGACTATATACTCCATGGAATTCTCTAGGCCAGAATACTGGAGTGGGTAGCCGTTCCCTTCTCCAGTGGATCTTCCCAACCCAGGAATAGAACTGCAGTCTCCTGCATTGCAGGAGGATTCTTTGCACACTGAGCTATCAGGGAACACTAATGTTATGGAAGCATCAGCCATTTCTAAGCCCTCTTGTTTGTTAAATCTGGTCACAATATTATTTTCATTGGCTAGACCACCCAGGAGGACTCCAGAAGAGTCCAGTTGACTCCTTCTCCCATCCTTTTTTTCCTGATCCCACCCATCATCACAGTCTGACCCCAGAGTAGGGACCATGTGGACACCCTGCAGGAAGGGTCTCAAAAGGACATGACCAAAAACCCCCAGACTCTTGGAAAACTCAAAAGAATGCTTCATTCACTTTTGTCCTAGGTGGTTGTGTTCGTTTCCATACCAAGGGACCACAAACCAGGTGGCATAAAGGAACAGGAATTCGAGGACTTACCTGGTGGTCCAGTGGCTAAGACTCCACACTCCCAATGCAGGGGACTTGGGTTTGATCCCTGGTCAGGGATCTAGATCTTACATGCACTCAAGGTCAAACAGTTAAAAGCAGATTTATTTCGAACAGGAAAGGACTGAATGCAAGTTAAGGAAAGGACAGCTGGCTCAATAAAGGTGGGTAAAAGAAGATAGAAACAGTTGAAGGTTTGAAAACTGGAATTGGGTTTTGATAAAGGATTAAGATAATTTCCAAAACAGGTCAGTGATTTTTTTTTTCTTTTCCTTTCTTTCTCTTTTTCTTTCTTCCTCCTTCCCTGCCTCCCTCACTCTTCCTCCCCCCTTTCCTTCCTTCCCTTCCTTCTTTCATTCTTTCCTTGGAAATGGAATAGAAATGTAAACAATCCAGAGATTTGAACTGTAGAGTCTGACATAAGCAAGTTTTACAGTTATATGAATTCCCTTGCTAATATTTAATTAGTGCTATGATCTTTCTAAAGATGGCAAACCGCATACTTCAGTATTTAAAAGCTATACAAACTCAGTTACATATGAGTATAGGGTTTTGTGGGTGTGTGTAGAAAAGATCTATAAATGTTATACAGAGTGAAAGCCACTCAGTTGTGTCCAACTCTTTGCGACCCCATGGACTATATACTCCATGGAATTCTCTAGGCCAGAATACTGGAGTGGATAGCCGTTCCCTTCTCCAGTGGATCTTCCCAACCCAGGAATAGAACTGCGGTCTCCTGCATTGCAGGAGGATTCTTTGCACACTGAGCTATCAGGGAACACTAATGTTATGGAAGCATCAGCCATTTCTAAGCCCTCTTGTTTGTTAAATCTGGTCACAATATTATTTTCATTGGCTAGACCACCCAGGAGGACTCCAGAAGAGTCCAGTTGACTCCTTCTCCCATCCTTTTTTTCCTGATCCCACCCATCATCACAGTCTGACCCCAGAGTAGGGACCATGTGGACACCCTGCAGGAAGGGTCTCAAAAGGACATGACCAAAAACCCCCAGACTCTTGGAAAACTCAAAAGAATGCTTCATTCACTTTTGTCCTAGGTGGTTGTGTTCGTTTCCATACCAAGGGACCACAAACCAGGTGGCATAAAGGAACAGGAATTCGAGGACTTACCTGGTGGTCCAGTGGCTAAGACTCCACACTCCCAATGCAGGGGACTTGGGTTTGATCCCTGGTCAGGGATCTAGATCTTACATGCAGCAACAATGATTGAAGGGCCCATGTCCCGCAACTAAGACCCAGCACAGTCAAATAAGTAAATATTTTTTTAAAAAGAAGATGAAATAAAGGAACAGGCATTTATTCACTCACAGTTCTTGGAGCCAGAAGTCCAAAATCCAGGTGTCAGTAGGACTGATTCCTTCTGGAGTTCATGAGAGAGAATCCTTTTCATGCCCCTCCCCTGGCTTCTGGTGGTTGCCCAAGGTCCCTGGTGTTCCTTTGCTTATAGACGCATTCCTCCAATCGCTGCCCCCACCTTCACGTGGCCTTCTCCCTGTATGTGTTGATGACTCTTGTTTTCTTATGGGGACTCCAGTCATGATGGATTAGGGCCACTCTAATCCAGATGACCTCCCCCTAGCTTGATTTCATGTACAAAGATCCTACTTCCAAATAGGTCACGTGCACAGGTGGGAGGCCTCCCAGGTGGCATTAGTAGTAAAGAACTCACCTGCCAATGCTGGAGACATAGGAGGCACAGGTTCGAACCCTGCATCGGGAAGATCCCCTGGAGGAAGGCATGGCAACCCTCTCCAGTGTTATTGCTTGGAGAATCCCATGGACAGAGGAGCCTGGCGGGCTACAGTCTGTGGGGTCACAAAGAGTTGAACACAAGTGAAGGGACTCAGCACACACACACAGGTGGGGGAAAGTGAAGTGAAAGCCACTCAGTCGTGTCTGACTCTGCGACCCCATGGTCTATCCAGTCCTTGGAATTCCCAGGCCAGAATACTGGAGTGGGTAGCCTTTCCCTTCTCCAGGGGATCTTCCCAACCCAGGGATCAAACCCAGGTCTCCTGCACTGTAGGTGGATTCTTTACCAGCTGAGCTTTCAGGGAAGCCCCACAGGTGGAAGAGGGAAGGTTACAGCTTCTGCCTGTCTTTTGGGGGGACACAGTTCAACCTGCAACAGCTGGGTTCCTCCTGAAACAGACCCCCAGACAAAGTTGTGAATGCAAATATTTAGTTTCTTTGGGAGGTGATCCCAGGAAGTGCTGAAGCACGTGGAGAAGTGAGGAAGGGAAGGGAGGCAGAACGAGGACATGAATGAGTGGGATGCTCTTGGGGGCAGATGGGGCCTAATCCTGCTGGGGGCCCCAGAGGACCATGCAGAATGTCCTACTGGAGGAGGTTTGGGTGTGTATGCTGTAACCTCCTCTGTAGGGCCTCGGGCTGCTGGGGCATCGCCTCCCAGCATGTCCATTTCCTGGGAAAGCCCTCAGGCAGACCCGTGGCCATGGCCGGGGGAGGTGGCTGCCTGCAGGAACCCCAAGGCATGGAGACAGTGCCAGCAGCTTCTGCTCTGACCTCACATAGTGGGTCTTCCTCTCACATTGAGAATAAGGGACTTCTATTGTCAATCACTGCCGTTCCTTTTTTAACATTGGCAGGTAACCACTATCTGACAGATTATGAGTGAAAAAGATATTTTACTCCAAAATCACTTCCTTTAGCTATTGTCTAATGACAAATCATTCTAAAGATTTTCAAATTGATAACTGCATTATCTGAGCTTGAAGAAACCTTGTCCCTGGGATATATTTTTTCATCTTCCGTAAAGTTTGATTTGCAAGCCTGTGCCTTCCCTTCCCCAGTCTGTGCACATCTGGTAAATTCCTATGGGCATGCTAAGTCACTTCAGGCGTGTCCAACTCTCTGTGACCCTATGGACCATAATCCTCCAGGTTCCTCTGTCCATGGGATTCTCCCGCAAGAATACTGGAGTAGGTTGCCATACCCTCCGCCAGGGGATCTTCCCAACTCAGGGATCGAACCCGCATCTCCTGCATTGCAGGCAGATTCTCGACCGCTGAGCCACAGGGGAAGTAAATCCCTCTGCAACCTCTAAGACTGAATCACATCTCTGCATCGACAATGAGCTCCTGCCAGTCATCCTGTGGTGCCGAGCACAGTGCCCTGTAGGAGGACATTATGCCATAAATGTTTGCTGAAAGAGTGAATTATGAATGAGTGAATGAAAGAATGTATGAATGAATGAATGTGGGATCATTGGTTATTTCAAGCTCTCCCTACCACACAATTGGGAAGTGGCACCCTAACAGCAAAACTGTAAATTCATTATTCTTCCCAGTGTGCTGTAACCCAGGACACTATATTCACACAAACACCTTGAAAATAGCTACTGACAGTCTGTTCAGATGTCACTGACAAGGCCCATATGTGACCGGTTTTTCTTCCTCAATTTGATTGCTCTTTGATGTGCAGCCACGTGACTCTTCTCCCGGGCCTGGCAGTATCCTCATCACAGCCTTTCCTCTTGGGCTTACGGTCAGCCTGCTGTCCTCCCTCCAAGGAAGCAGCTCCAGTCCACCATCCCACAGCAGGCCTGTCCCTTTGTCACTCTGGTGTCCTGGTATGTCACTGTTCCACTCTCGAGACAGGGCTACCGCTGTTCCTTGGTGCAGACATGGGCCAAGGCAAAGTTTTTATCTAACCCCAGAACTTTTGATTTCTTTCTCTGGATTTCTGTAGGAGCTGAGGAACATCTGAAACACTGGCCAACTGTCCTTCAATCAGTTATTCACTTTGCCGTCATGACTTCATCGACAATTCCATGAAACCCAGAGCTACTACCAGGACAGTTCTAGGACAGCCATCATCCTCAGCTTCCTCTTCCCTGTTACTGCCTGTCTTGTCATCACTGTCAGCATCCATCTGTCAAGCACTGAACAGTGTGAGCTGGAGATTTCCTTGGAGCTGGAGGTGAGGTAACAGAACCCTTAAAGCTTCTATCTTAAGTGCTATTACATTGGCATTTTTTTTCCACAACCATGTTTGAACATCCATCCAACTATTTAATAAATACTTATGGCAGGGCCATTACACTAGAATACAATGGTTTAAAAGACCCACTTCCCCACAAATATTCATAGCTGTGTTAGTCATCATAGCCAAAACAATTAAACAGACGAAACACTGAAAGAATCTTTACTTGAAACATTGAAAATAATGTTTGAAACAACTAAAATATCTTCAACAAATGAATGGATAAACAAAATGTGGTATATATAATAGAATATTTCTCAGTTATAAAAAGAAAGAAAGCGCTGATACCTGCTACAACATGGATGAACCTTGAAACCTTATGCTAAATGAAAGAAGCCAGACACAAAAGGCCACCTGTTATATGACTGCATTTAAAGGAAATATCCAGAATAGGTAAACCTACTATAGAGATGGAATGCAGATTGGTTGTTGCTGGGGGCTGGGGGAGGGGGTACAGAGTGTGACTGCTTGATGATTTCAGGATTTCCTTTCAGAATATGAAAATATTTTAGAACTAGATACAGGAGGTGGTTGCACACAGATGTGAAAGTACTAATTGCCACTGAATTGTATGCTTTAAGTGGCTAATTTTATGTTATGTGCATTTTGTCTCAATTAAAAAAAATGTTTTTTAAAGACCTGACTCCTATTCCTCACAGTCCATGAGTTCCAGTTTCATGTACAGGCCCCAGAGAATCTGTGAAGGGGGAGAGACCACAGTGTGGTGTGGAGGCAATCATTGCCATCACTGAGACCTTTAAAGGAGAAAAGGACTTGGAAACCATCAAAGGACAAAGGCTAGGATGGGATGAGCAGAGAAGTTAGACCCTGTGGCTCTGTGGTGTTCTTGGTTTGGTCCTTAATTAACAGAGTAGCCTTGTTTTCTTTTGTTTTGTTTTAGCACTACTTGGCAGCCACTGGGCAAGTTGGTGGAGGAAGAGGAGGTACAAGGATGAAGGAGATGAAGACTCAGCCCACTGTCCAACCTACCCACCAGCTTGCATCCTAACAGGGGAAGAGACCTGCCCACAGACAGTGAGAAATGGGGTAGGATAAATAATAAATGCTGTGGGAGGGTCACATGGAACTCTCTGGTATAAGCCCAGGAGGGAGATAGACTTCATCCAAGAGAAGGAGTCGCTTCCTACCCCACGGGGCTCAGGGCAAGTGCCGAGGGCTTAAGAGAACTCCATGCCCCAGACTGCCCTGCAAGCTTATGTTCCCATCAGTAAAGGAGGCCAGTTGGGTGAGTGGCAGATTGTTTCCCAGTTAGATCAGCAACACAAGGGATTAAGGAAGTGCCCCCAGTGCTGGCCGATTCTGATTCTCTCCCCAAGAGATGCTCACTTGACTTTCCATTTCCCCTGGGTTCTCCACTGGCAGCAAGAGGCGTTAAGGGGAAGGAAACCTCCTCTCTGGGATTTTGCTCTGCTAGAGAGAGTGCTCTGGGCTTGACCTGTAGTATCTTTCACAGTCATCCTTTGAAGCAGGGATTATGAACACTTCTTTATGTATTTATTTTTAAAATGCCTATTTGTATTTATTTGGCTGCACCAGGTCTTAGTTAGGCTTCCCAGGTAGTGTTAGTGGTAAAGAACCTGCCTGCCAATGCAGGAGACATAAGAGAAGCAGGTTTGACTCCTGGGTCAGGAAGATCCCCTNAGGTTCGACTCCTGGGTCAGGAAGATCCCCTGGAGGAGGACATGGCAACCCACTCTACTATTCTTGCCTGGAGAATCCCATGGACAGAGGATCCTGGCAGGCTGTAGTCCATAGGATCGCAAAGAGTCGGACACGACTGAAGTGACTTAGCAGGCATGCGTTTGGTCTTAGTTGCGGTATGCAAGATCTTTAGTTGCATGCAGACTCCTTAGTTGCGGCATGTGGGACCAAGTTCCCTGACCAGGGATGGAACCCAGGCCGCCCGCATTGGGAGTGTGGACTCTCAGCCACTGGACCACTGGGGAGGCCCTAAATGTTCCTTTTTTGCAGATGAGGTTCAGAAAGATGAAATGATTTGCCAAAATCAGACAGCCAATAAGTGATGGGATCAGGATGTGAGCTGGTGTGACGTCACGGGCTCTGTTCTATGTACTCCCAGTCCTGTTTGGCTAAGAGTCTATGCCACAGGGCATCAACCTTCATTAAGACAATTTCTGCAACTGGAAACATTAAAGGAAAAAGTAATGCAAGGCTGGAAAATGTTGACAAGCTATTGCTGGACCTATACCAGTGAACCTTCCGAGGGTAGCTGTGCTTTAGCTGGGCAGGCTCCATCACTCACGGGACCTCACTGGCTCCCCTGGGCATCAGTGGCCTTGACCACTGTCAAGAGTCATGTCCTCAGCACAGAGCTGAGACCTGCGAGGTTTCTGATGAAGAAAGAACAAAGTGCCTGGAAACTTGAGTTGCTCTGTGTCACAGTGAAAAGGCCAGAATTGGCATTTTAAAAATTCATTGTCTTCTAATAATAAAACTGTGTTGACAGAGAGCTGGGCTTCTGAGAGCATCAGGCTTGTGCAAACATCACTTCTGGAATGTTCACAACCCAGGCTCAGGGAAGTGAGAAGGTGACTCTGACTGGGGTCTCTGCAGTTAAAAGAAACAGGCCCAGAGGAAAAGCGTCCTGCTCCAGGCAGGCAGAAAGCGGCCAGAGGGAGGTGATGCGAGTTCCAAGAACAAACACTTGTGGAGCACCCACGCGTGCCAAGTGCTGTCACAGACATACACGCATTGCCCTGTGGAGCATCTGCCTCCTATGTCCTGTGCTCAATGCCTTCTTCCTTGAATGCAAAAGCTATGGAGGCAGAGGAAGCTGGTTCTTAGAGAGCCAGGGGGAAGGACCCTCCTTGGTCGCTCATCCTCGTCTTGCACTCACCCTCTTTACATCAGGCTCTGAGCCTTGGCACCACTGCAGCCAGCCCAGCTGGCAGGGGCCCTGCTTATCCTTCTGACCTTACCCCAGAGACCCCCTGCTCTGTAAAACAATGAGCAATCCTCTGGACGGAGGAGCCTGGCAGGCTACAGTCCAGAGGGTCACAAAGAGTTGAAGCGACTTAGCATGCACGCACACAAACAGCCCAGCTGGCAGGAGCCCCGCCACACTGTTGTGTGGAGCCCGTGAGCTTGGAGAAGGGCCTGGTCCTGGTACCTTCCTTCCTCCTTCAGATCTGGTCCCCGTGGAGGAGCTGGTTTGCCTGTCTGCCCACAGCCTGGGGCAAGCTCCCTGGGCACACATGCTCCACCTTTGCTGGAGGCGGGAGGTGGCAGGAGGCCAACTCTCCAGGGATGGGTTGAATAGTGGTGGGAAGTAGTGAAAGACTGCATACTTAAGCCAAAAATCCTCTAGTCTGGCCTTTTCCAATAATAAAGCTGATATTTTCATCTTCTCCTGTCAGATTCTTGAATGTATCTCTCCATTGGTTCTGAGCTCAGAGGATGGAAACTGAAGTGTAATTTCTTTCTTTCCTAGAATCCTCCTGGGGTCTCTCTTCTCCCCAGCACACTCACTGCCTGCTGGCACATAGTGGTGGTGATTTAGTTGCTAAGCCTTGTCCAATTCTTGTGACCACATGGACTGTAGCCTGCCAGGCTCCTCTGTCCGTGCGATTTCCCAGGCAAGAATACTGCCATTCCCTTCTCTAGGGCATCTTCCTGACCCAGGGATCAAACCAGGGTCTCCTGCACTGCAGGCAGATTCTTTACTATCTGAGTCACCAGTGCCCAGCATATAGTAGGTGCTCTCTATTTGTTGAAGAATGAAGTAGTCAAAGATGTTAAGATGGGAGGCTGATGCTTTTCCTTCCTTACTGTAGAAATAATCCAAAGCCATTGTCATGGGTCACTTAGTAATTGTGCTTTGGTTGGGAAGGGTCAGGTGAATCAACCCTAATTTGATTGGCTGAAGGTCTCATTTATGCCTGAAATGGAACTAGCCTCAGCCAGAANAGGAGGAAGGGACAACAGAGGATGAAATGGTTGGATGGCATCACCGACTCAATGGACATGACTTTGAGCAAACTCCGGGAGTTGGTGATGGACAAGGAAGCCTGGTGTGCTGCAGTCCATGGGGCCACAAAGAGTCGGACACGACTGAGCAACTAAACAGAACTGAATTCTTTTGCAGGGATGAAAGTACCTTTCCAGGTTTTTGTTTCAAGAACCTTCAGCTGTCTAAACACTCAGCTCAGCCAAGCTTCGCTCTGCATACAGACTGCAGCTGGACTTCAGAGGCTCAAGCATCCTGCTTTCATCTTCCCATTGGCAGAGCTCCTTGTTTCCAACCCTGACTGGAAGGAGATGAGGAACCCCACAGCAGAGGGCAGGTGAGGGTTGGAAGAATTCAGGTGTACGTTTTTAAAAAAACAATTTATTTACCTTTGGCAGTGCTGGGTCTTTGTTGCTGTGTGTGGGTTTTCTCTAGTTGCATTGAGCGGGGGCTGCTCTCTAGTTGTGTGCAGGCTTCTCACTGCCGTGGCTTCTCTTGTTGTGGAGCAGAGGCCCTAGGGCGCCCGGGCTTCAGGAGCTGTAGCATATGGGCTCAGTAGTTGCGGCTCCTGGGCTCTAGAGCACAGGCTCAATAGTTGTGGTGCACAGACTTAGTTGCTCCATGGCACGCGGGATCTACCTGGATCAGGGAGTGAAGCTCTGTCTTCCTACATTGCAAGGCAGATTCTTTACCACTGAACCACTAGAGAAGCCCTGAAGTGTACATTTTAAGGCTGCTGAGGTGGTCATTTAGGCTATAGTCTTAATGCCAATCCCAGGAAGTGACAAGGTGAAAAATAATTTTTTTAAAAAGTGTAAAACTGAAAATAAACAGGGGAACACAAGAGAGCTCTCAAGACACNGGGGGGGGGGGTGATGGTGGGGGATAGGAAATGAAGTCTTAGTCACACGGGAGAGGAAACCCAGGAGGCCTGGGTTTCCCACCACTGCAGATGTGCCGGGGTTGGGAACAGGAGGGAGCAGGTCTGCTTGATTAAAAAAGAAAAACCCACAGGGGGCCTTCTGATTAACACAGGTCCCAAGGACCCACTGTATTGCACAGGGAAGGTTGTCAATATTATCTAACAACCTAAATGGGAAAAGAATTTGAAAAAGAATAGACACGTGTATATGTATAACTGAATGATTTTGCTGTCCAACCGGAAACTATCACAACATCGTTAATCAGCTATACTCCAATAAAAATTTTTTTAAAAATACAGGTCCCATCAGGACCCCCTCTTCTTTTCATTGCAACTCAGTGTGGTGAGATGGGGTAACTTGCCAAATGAAGAGAAAATCACCTCTTATCTCAGAAGTGGCTATGCCAATTAAATACACTAATATTATGTGCCACGGATTATTTCGTCACCTTGTGGTAGGTCCGAAATCCCATGCCTGGGAAGCTTCCCTCTAGTGCAGCTCTTTGGGAATGAACCATTCAGGTTGCTCCCTAGGACTCTGGGAGGCAAGGCCCTTCTGGGAGGGGCCACAAATGAGGTCAAACATGACTTGATAGGATACTTAGGCCGCTTAGCAGATCAGTTGTGTCCTACTCTGCCACGGCATGGACTGTAGCCCTCCAGGCTCCTCTGCCCATGGACTTTTTCCAGGCAAGAAATACTGGAGTGGGTAGCCAATTCCTGCTCCAGGGGATATTTCCGACCCTGCAGGATTGAACCTGCATCTCTTGCGCCTCCTGCATTGGCAGGTGGATTCTTTACCGCTGAGTCACCTGAGAAGCCTGAGGATGCTGAAAACAGCTACCAATAACAGAACTGTCTGTCTGTTGCAGGTGTGAGTGAATCCTTATTCTCCTTTTGCTTGCAAGGAAACTGAAGCGTGGAGAGGTTGGGTCATGCGCTTTACATCACAGCCTGGTACGTTTGATCAAGTCGGGTTTGGGTGGCTTGTGCCCTGCTTCCTTCTCACCCCAACTTTATCCCCAGCCCAGACTGGAAGGAGAGCATTGAAAATATCTCTGTAAATCAGAGATGTGATGGTACCTGCCCGTGGAGCTGTCACAGAGATTCAGTGAGGTGATTATGGGACACGCTTACGAGCATGCCTGGTCTGTAGTAAGCATTCAGTAGATGTTGGCTCTTAGGATCAGCGCTGGGTCCATCCTCTCAGCCAAAGGATTCCCAAGGAAGAAAGAGAAGCAGGGAGGGCAGCAGGGCACAGTGACCAGCAGTGCACTGAAATCAGAACTTGGACTCTGCTCAGAGAGACCTCAGAGTGACTGCCCGAATCTGCTGAAAGAAATAAGCAGTGCTTGTGGTCACCAGATTGAACAGCTAATCACGGCTCTCCATCTGTGATTATAAAGTGCGGAGACTTGAGAAGGGAGAGCTTGTTAGGTGAAAATTGAACAAGCATCAGCCGCTTCGAGAGGCAAAGCGCTCAGTGAACATCAGAAACGGCTGTGTCTTAGGCATTCATCAGGCAATGGCTTGTGATTTCTTTTTCTTTTTAAATATCCCGTGGCAAGCCTCAAATGCCTTAAAAATGAGGCCCCAGAATAGACTATGAGTCTAAAATACAGGAGGCCCAAACAAGCTCTATTTAAGGTTCTAAATAAGGCATCGAGTTTATCACTCAGTACAGAAAGACCAGCTCCAGGCTTCCACTGCTAATTATAGTGCTGACTTCATTTTCTTCTCCTTCTCCCTGGTGTGTGTTTTTAGTCTTTGTTTCCTAACAAGTCTGGGATCACTTGTGGTGGTTTCATTCTTCCCATCCCACTCTCCCAGCTCTCCCTTCAGTGCACCAGAGCCTGGGCAGCTGGGTGGATTCTCTGCCGCATCCTCTGATCATTGTGTTTCTCTTGCTGCTCAGACAGGGAGCAGAGTCCTTACTTCTGATCCCGTAGCCACAGGGTCACTGTGGGGGGCGGGCATCCATCCTCCACAGGTATATGACCTTACCCACCTGAGCAAAGGCTTCCACTGCACACCCCCCTGGATACACACGAGTCTCTGTACCCCAGCCTCTGGGGACTAGACCCCATGGAAAGCACCTGACCTCAGGGCCACAATCATTTGGCTTACAGAGATGCACTAGACCAATCAAATTCCTGTTTTTGAAAAAAATTATGTATTTATTTATTTTTGGCTGTGCTGGGTCTTTTCTGCTCGTGGACTTTCTGTAGTTGCAGTGAGTGGGGGCTACTCTCTAGTTGGGGGGCACGGGCTTCTCATTGCAGCGGCTTCTCTTATTGCACAGCTCAGCCTCTAGGGCATGACGGCTTTAGTAGCTGCAGCAGGCGGGCTTCATTGCCTCACGGCATGAGGCCTCTTCCTGGACCAGGGGTCAAACCCGTGTCCCCTGTCTCGGCAGGCAGACTGTCACCCACTGGGCTGCCAGGGAAGTCCCACATTTCTTTACTCAGAAATCCAAACTAAAATGGAGACAGCGCATTCACTGGCTGGTTGCAAGAGCTTCAAATCAAAGGCTGTACAGTGGAGTCGGGCATGGGGGAGACCTCACCTAGATGGATGTCCTGCTCGTGGCCCAGCAGAACCAGAGGTGAGGTGTGTGGCCACATCTGACCGAGGTGGGGCACCAGAATGAAGGTCCCCAGATCCAAACTCGAGGTGTGTCCACAAGGGGCTTGGCATGATTACAGCTCCATCTGGGTCCTCAAGATGAGCCCTATTTTCATACCTAAGCTGGGCTTCCCTGGTGCCTCAGATGGTAAAGAATCTGCCTGCAATGTGGGAGACCTGGGTCTGATCCCTGGGTTGGGAAGATCCCCTGGAGAAGGAACTGGCAACCTACTCCAGTATTCTTGCCTGGAGAATCCCATGGACAGAGGGGCCTGGAGGGCTAGAGTCCATGGGGTCATAAAGAGTCGGACACAACTGAGTGACTAACACACACACACACACACACACACACACACACGCAGAAGATCCTCTTTACTGCAACCAGATGAACGAATCCTGGCAGTCAGTAACTCAGTCCATTTCCACAAGATGCCATGGAGTGCAGATCTCTGACGTCAGGGCAAGTCAGCCTGGCCCTTGGCCCTGGTCTGGTGCAGGGCTGAAGCAATGGTAACCTGAGGCTGATCTGTGTGGTTGCCAGGACTGCTGTTGGGTGGGTGTGTGATTCTGGGAGCAGCCTCTAAATCAAGCATTTCAGGCCCATTTACAGGTCAGGGGTAGATGCATCTTATTCTGAACTTGCTTACTGGGGCCAGTACCTACACAGCCACTCAGCAAGTATTTATTGGGTCCCTCTGATGTTCAGCCTTGATCAGTCATTGGAAGGACTGATGCTGAAGCTGAAGCTCCAATCCTTTGCCATCTGATGCGAAGAGCTGACTCATTGGAAAAAAATCCTGATGCTGGGAAAGATTGAGGGCAGAAGGAGAAGGAGGCGACAGAGGATGAGGTGGTTGGATGGCCTCAGCGATACCATGGACATGGGTTTGAGCAAACTCTGGGAGATGATGCGGGACAGGAAGCCTGGTGTGCTGCAGTCTCTGGGGTCTCAAAGAATGAGACGGGAACATTGATGAAAAGCAACATTGATGTCAGGTGACGAAACTAGGTGCGAAGCATGAGGCAAAGGTGAGAGGTTCGGGTGTCTGTTGCTCTGACTTAACAATTAAAACAAAAGATGCATGCACAAATCAAGAAAAAAGCGGTAACTGTCATGAAGACGTACAAATAACATGCCATGGGCTTTCAGAACAGGCACCAGCTACTTCCTTCCGGAAGGATTATGGGAAAAGTTGGGGCTGAGATGACCTTGTGTCTGGACCTTGACCCTCAGGGAGGATCTGGAGGCTGGCGAGTGGGAAACACCAATAGAAAGCGGTGCGTGCGGAGCTGCAGAGTGAGGAGCACGAAAGGAAAGACCGGCCGTCACGCTGGGTTGAGAGCTGTTCGAAGATGATGGAAAACATCACACTGTGCCGCCGGCTTTATTTTGAAGCTGATGTGATGTCACTGGAGGGTTGTGAACAGAACAATGGCGGGCAGAGAGAGCCTTTGGAAAGATTACCGCCGGTCGTATTAATAGGAAGGAGGGAAGCCTAGTGATGCTTAAGGAGCTGTCCACATCGGATGGAGTTGAGGGCAGAGCGTGCTCCCACCCAAGGCATCTTCACTTGCGCTTCCTCCTCGGGAGCCTGACCAGTATCACTTTCCCCTCATGACAAATTCCTCTTCTCTTACTGATGGACTCCACCTGCTCCCCACCCCCAGCTGTAAAACGTTGCCAAATGGATTCAATTCAAATTCTATGTAATAAAAACATAAAGTAAGGCAACATAAATGGGAATGCTTTAAGTAATGTCCTCTGGCATCTCATAAAAGCCTCTTAAATTGATTACACGAGAGCGCAGGGTGCAGACGCCAGAAAAAAGGGCTTTATGGGAACTTTGGCAGTGCCCCAAAGGGGAGTCGTGTGGTGGTTGCCACGGACATAACTCTTCCCCAGATCATGTTTGTGCTTCAAATGTGGCACCCTGCACAATGACTTTCCCTTCCCTACACAGCGTATGTATTTAAAAACAAAAACCTGCTGTCCATTTGTCAGCTTTGATCATTTGGGCTGTAAAAATTCTGAGGTCCGTTTTGCAATAATTAAGACAACTAGGAGTGTGAGCTCTCCTGGAAGCTGGGGAAGATCTGCTTTTTTACTCCCTAAGGGACTGGTTTTGCACGATGCTTAGCCCAGAGGAATATGATGCACTAATTCAGCTGCTGGAAAACCCCTGGGAAGTTGGGAGAGGTTTCTTTCCAGCCACACTGTGGAGTCTTCCCTTGCCTATCCAGTCTTCTGTCCAAATCTCTGCTGCTCAGCAAGGCAGCCTGGGCGTAGCTCTGGGCAGGGGTGGGGCTGACCAGTGATACCAGGAGACTGATCCTGCCTTCTGCAGGGTGGTGTGAGTACCGTCTGATTGTCAAAACACTGGTCTGAGTACAGAAACACATTCTTGGGAATGTGAGTTTGTGACTCACAAAAGTGGAAGATTTTTTTAAAAAATATTTCTTTATTTGGCTGCATCAGGTCTCAGTTGCAACACATGGGATCTTTGCTGTGGCTCCAGGGCTTCTCTCTAGTTTTGGTGTGCAGGCTTAGTTAGTCTGCAGTATGTGGGGTCTAGTTCCCTGACCAGGGATCAAACTCATGTCCTCTGCATTGGATGGCAGATTCTTAACCACTGGACCACCAAGGAAGTCCCAGAGAGGAAAATCTTTTAAAGCCACATGTCAGGTTACCAGAGGAGTGATGTCCAGCAAGCCAAATTCATGAGACCGATTGATGTGTTGCCTATGGATGGTTCAGATTGGTGCTTCTAAGGTGCTTTTAATAACTCCTGCTGCAACCCATAGTTTGCCTTTCTAAGTGTGAATCTCCTGGCTTATATTTTCTTGAGAGGTAGATCTGGTCTTCAGGGCTAAACCAGGAGGCTTCTTCTTTTTTTAAAAAAACCAACCTGTATTAATTTTCAGTATTTTCCCCCAGAGGGTGAGATGCTTCCAATAAGCCTGGAACTCCCTTGATTTTTCCTTTCTCTTTCTCCCTCCTCCTCTCGCCCTCCCCTCTCTCTTTCTTCCTCTCCCCATCTTTCCTCGTCTTTCTTTCCTTTCTCCCTTCCCCCTTTCCTCCTTTCTCCCTTCCTTCCTTCTTCCTTTTACTTTTCCTTCCTTCCTCTCTTCCTCCCTCCCTCCTTCCTGTCTCACTGTCCCTCCCTCTCTCTCTTTTTCTCTCTCTCCATCCCAGTCTCTCTCTCTCTCTCCTTCAGTATCAGCTGAGAGTCTCCTAAGTGCATTCTGCTACAGGCAGGGAGTAGGTGGCATAAGCAGAGCCCAGTCCCAGGCTGCCCAGAGCTCAGAGTGCAGTGTGATAATTCTCAACAATG